AACTTGTTAAAGCCTACCTGCATGGAGGACCCTCAACAGGCTGCTCCCTGGGCTGCTGTTCATCCAGTCCACACCAGCTAGTAGAATTCTGACACACTTAGGTGCGTTGTCTGAGTGCAGCCGTCACCTCGGGTGCTCTGAGCATCACCACTACTGTGACGAGCCACCCCAGAGCCGCTTTCACCATCCAGCAACTTAAGGATTCAGATGGGCAAGCGCACGGGGTTCGCAAGACCCTGGCCCTCACAGCATTAGTAAGCAGCTTTGCACGGCCCTTGACTGTCCTGCCCTAAAACTTAACACCTGTTTTCCTGCTTTCCATGAACTAGATGCTATGTTTTCTTTTCCAATTGTTCTTCAAAGTCTCTCCGCAGCTCAGGGGCCCAACAGTCTTTCACAGCTGAGCCTCATCCTTCATTGACCTACATACCCTCTGTCTCACCACACTCAGCGGCTGCGTATTCCCAAGTACCAACTTTTCCTTTTCCCTGCCTCCTGTTCTTTGCTGCCTGAGAGTAGCCTCTTTTCTGCCTCCATCAGGGTCTTCTTCTCTCTCCTTTCACTTTGTTGGTGGTGGTGGTGGTGGTGGTGAGTTTTGTTTTGTTTTGTTTTTTTCTTTTGAGGCAGGGTCTCATGTAGCACGGGCTGGCCTTGAACAGGGTTAGTATATAAGGTTCACTTTGAACTTCTGATTCTCCTGTCTCTACCCAGGGTGCTGTGACTGCAGGTGTGTTCCACATCTGGTTTTATACAGTTCTGAGGGGCAAACCCAGAGCTTCCTGCAGACCAGGCAAGCACACTACCGACCGAGCTACACCCCCAGCCTCCAGTCGTTATTTCTTAAATTTTGTGTGCATCAATCAATATAAGTGTATCACATGCATGCCATGCCAGAAAAGGACATTAAGTCATTGTGAGCCTCCATGTTGATGCTGGGAACCAAACCTGGGTCCCCCGAAAGAGCAGCAAAGGCTGGTAACAAAGGCTCGTAACCACTGAGCCATCTCTCCAGCCTCAATTCATCAGAATCTGACCAACTCCTCACCATCACCCCAAACGCCTCCACTTCTAAAGAAATTACTTGAGAGCTGGCTTCCATTTTCAGAAGTATCACAGCAACATCTATTCTCCACATTTGAAAAAACTTAATTTTTTCGCATTCTGATTGTTTTCACAGAACCCACCTTGCTCGACTCCTAGACAGAAAGCTATAGAAAAAAATAAAATAAACCCATTGTGCTGGCTAGTGTTATGTCAACTTGACACAGGTTATATTTATCGGAGAGGGAGCCTCAACTGAGAAAATGCTTCCAATAGGATTAGGCCATAGTGAAACCCTGTCTCAAAAAACCAAAAATAAATAAATAGATAGATAGATAGATAGATAGATAGATAGATAGATAGATAGATAGATAAATGAGGCTGCGGGCAAGCCTGTAGGGCATTTCCTTAATTAGTGATTGATGTGCAAGGGTCCAGTCCATTGTGGGCGGAGCCATCCCTGAGCTGGTGGTCCTTGGGTATATAAGAAAGCAGGCTGAGTAAGCCATGGAGAGCAAACCAGTAAGCAGCACCCCTCTGTGAACTTCCCATCAGCTCCTGCCTCCAGGTTCCTCTCTTGTTGCGTTCCTGTCCTGCCCTGACTTCCTTCAATGATGGACCATGAAGTGGAGAAGTATAACTCAGATAAACCCTTTCCTTCCCAATTTGCTTATGGCTGTGGTGTTTCATCACAGCAACAGTAGCCCTAACTAAGACAGCACATTTTGGTCAACATATCTATATAACCTAGCACAGCCAGCAGTGGTGGTGCACGCCTTTGATCCCAGCACTCAGGAGGCAGAGGCGGGCAGATCTCTGTGAATTCAAGTCCAGCCTGGTCTACAGAGTGAGTTCCAGGACAGCCAGGGCTAAACGGAGAAACCCTGTCTGGAAAAATAAATAATTGATTGATTAATTAATAAAATGACCTAGCCCAGCGCTTTGCTTGAGCCATGTATTAAATAAATATGACTGAGTGAATGGCTATAGTTCTTCCAGCCACGGGACCCTTTTCTTTAACGATTTTAGCTGTTTTCCCTTAAAGCTCCCCCATTCGTAGTTATATCTTTTTCTGCATATGGAGCCCAAATTGCACACCATCCATATTTCAAACTACCAGGTTATTTTGTAAAGATGGAGCAGAAACTATGCTCCCCTGTCATTATTTTGCCACCCTAGAGTTTGTGACTGCCATTCTCTATACACTTTTCCAGTGCTAAACCAATATACCCTCACACAAGGACAAGCAAATGACAGGTTCTGGGCAGTGGAGGCCAGCCTCACAGATGACAGGAAGGCGGGTAGTGGACTGAGTTGGCAGAGAATGCTAGAAAGTGCCAGGGTGGCTCACTGGGAAACGGCGCCAAGATGGGGTTCTGGTTGCTGTGGTCAAGTCCTGTATGCAGTGCTGGGAGGGGCAGCTTTGCTATTCTGATTACTATTGGTATGCAGGGTGTGGGGGAGGGAACACCAGCAGCCCCCTTCTTACTTCTCTCCTACTTCTTCCCCAAAGAGGAACAGTTCTGAGCTGGAAGTAAGACACAGCAAGAAAGGGAATTTTGATGCAAAACATCTGGGCTTCCTAATGACAAAAAGAATGAAGCCAGTCGGTGGTGGCACATGCCTGAAATCTCAGCACTCAGAGGCAGGCAGATCTCTGAGTTTGTGGCCAGCCTGATCTACAGATTGAGTTCCAAGACTGCCAGAGATACACAGAAAAACTCTGTCTTGAAAAAAAAATTCAATGAGAACAAGTACAGCCACCCTCTAAATCTCATCCCACAAGGAAATCAAGGCAGGACTAGGACACATTTCACAGTGGGTGGACCTCAGGGTCCTGGGAATCTAAGAGGAAACTATGATCTTCAGTGCCCAGGCTTAGGCTCATGTTAAAAATCACAAGGAAGACAGGGCATGATGACAAAAGCCTTTAATCCCAGCACTCAGGAGGCAAAGATAAGAGGATCTGTTAGTTTGAAGCTAGCCTGGTTTACAGAGTGAGCTCCAGGACAGCCAGGGCTACACAGAGAAACCCTGTCTCGAAAAACCAGAGAGAGAGAGAAATCATAAGCAGGAAGGCAGACTATAGAACATTCACCATAATCAGCGCTCAGGAGACTGAGACAGGAAGATCTTGAAATCAAGCCCAGCCTGCAATACATAGCAAGTTGCTGGCCAGCCTGGGCTATACAGAGTAAGCAGCTGTCTCAACAAGAATGAAAGAAAGAATGAAAGAGAGAGAGAGAGAGAGAGAAAGGATGGAAGGAAAGAAAGAAACCACAAGGAACTCTAAGTTAATTCTGGAACAAGATGCTGGGAACATAATTTTTGGAGAACGGTCAGTATGGAAAAAGAAATAATTTTAAAATAAATATTTAAAAGCCCACTAGTCTGGTCTGAGGAAGGCAGCATGAGGCTGGGAGCCAGTGTGCGGCTTATTAAGCCACCAGGGCTTGGTCTGGGAAGAGAAAGCACACCTGAGGCAGAGGAGTGAAAGCAACGCGCTGACTTCAGCATCACAAAGCAACTGCTACCTTGCCCAGTTTATATAGTCTCCCACGAACCGTGCTGCCAAAGGGTGTTCCAAGAAGCTGGATCCAAGCCTCCCACCTGTACACACTCCAAGAAAGTTCAGCCACCTGCAGCTGGGTGGCCCTGGTGGCGGAGAGCCTCCAAAAGAAAAAAACAAAAGCTGACGAGGGAGCCCGGGGTCAAGCGAAGGGAGAATCCTACACGCCTGCGGCTGAGCGCAACTTTCTCTCCCAGGTGTGCAGGGCCCTCACCATGGAAATGCTCAGTTGGCAGAGGCCATATAGTCTCCATTTCCCAACGGAGAGGGACTCTAGAGATCACGTAGGCCAGATTCCTCTTTTCCTCTCGATCTGTAGCTACAAATAGCCAGTAGCTTGATCTCCTGTGACAGTCAGTCCTCTCGCTCACAGACTGATGACCACTGCCACAGAGGTTGGGCTATAAGTACACATCTCCAAACCGACTCCGCTTGGTTACTGACCAGGACGATAATTTCTTCTTCTGGCCCACAAAAGACAAAACATCTAGCTAAGGGTAAAGCCGTAGACCAAAGTATCTACCAGAGGGTATTCTTTAAGTTTCTTAAAACAGGAAAGTGAAACCCCGGGAGAAAATAAACTAGAACTTCCCCCTTTAGGCTGGAGAAGGGCACCTGGCCCTTCTGGGAACTTCTCCACTCTCTTCTGGCTACCAGAAGATGACTTTATACTTTGTTGGGGCTGTCAAAAGTATATTGAAAGTCACTGTGGATAATCATATCCATTGAAGGGGGGAAAGGCCACTTCCTTCCGTTTTCCTAAGTAGAAACGAGTGCTTTGATCAACTAAAAATACAAGTAAGAATTTAGTCATGGCAGGGTCACCTTAGGCGGGGTTTGTTAGCGTTTGTCAGATGCGCGCGGGTTTTGCAGTTCAAACACTGGAGGAGGCAGTCTGGACGAGCAGGGAACTGCGCACTCGCGAGGCGGGAGACTTGGAAACAGTGGCGCACGCAAGGCGGGAAGGCCAGGCGGCCCCCTCGGAGGTGCGATTGAAAAAGAACCCCCCACCCCACCCCCGAAAGCTCGGCCGGTGAACAAACAGCGAGCCAGCCCCACCAGCGAGCGGAGGACTTAGTCGGGGCGGCGCCGACCGCAGCGTGCGGCCGAGTGCCCGCGCTCGCCAACCGCGAGGCTGGGAGTCCCGCAAGGGTGGAAGGCGCCTCCAAACCTCCACCAGCGCTCGGGAGGCCCCGAGGGCGTCACGACCCCACTCTTGCCCCTGGGTGGGCGAGCCAGGAGCAGCGACCCTTGGCGGCCCCCCACTGGCCCATGTCCCCGGGAACGCGCGGGGCGGCGCCGGCACCTGGAATCGGCTCGGGGGAGGCGGGTCCCCGCCCCGGAGCGCCCGCCCACCTCCGCCACCTCCTCGCCCCCCGGCGCTACTCACTGTGATTCAGGGGGTTCCTGCCGGCCTGGGCCGACGCCACCAGCTCCAGGTACAGAGTCCAGAGTCCCACCGACACCACGGCGAGCAGCAGCAGCAGCCGGAAGCGCCTCCTCAGCAGCTTGATCGGGCGCACGAGCAGCATCAGCAACGCGGCGCGGGGGCTCCCCATGGCGCTCCGCCCGGCCGGCCGCCCCGACACCGGCTTCCTCACTCACCGCCCCGGCCCGGCTCTGCCTCTCAGCGCGGCGCACGGCCAGGCTCCCCGGCTCACCCTCCAGCCGGCCGCCCGCTCATGCTCGGCGCGCCGGGGTCCCTCGGCGGCGCGGGCGCCTCGCAGGTCTCCCTCCGGCCGCGGAGCCCGGCTCCTCCTCCCCAAGTGTCCGCTCCACGCCTCTCCTCGTCTCAGGCCCTCCACCTCCCTCCCTCTCTCCTTCCTTCCTCGCTCCTGCCCGGGAGGCTCTCCGAAGGTGTCCGCCGGCCCCGGCGCTCGCTTGCTCGCTTGCTCGCTTGCTGGCTGCGGTCAGGGCGCCTTCTTTCAGCGCCGAGCATTACCTTACACCCTACCTGTCTCGGCCCCGCCCCCGGGCACAGGTGGGCTCCGCCCCCGAGAGGCCGAGGGCAGCCGAGAGGTGGGGCCGGATTGCTGGTCCCTGACGCAGCCACCAGCTTGGGGTTGTGTGGGAGGGGTGTGTCGGCTGTGTGATGAGGGAGATAATGGAAATGAAAGAAGATGCGAGTTGAGACGTGGACTCTGTGACCGACGGAAGCCCAGTCGCCGCCAAGACATTTGAAGGTGCCCCTCCGAGGGAGATGTGGAGCCGAGACTTTTTTTTTAAGTGACCTCTGTGACTTTGGCCTCGGGGCCCTTCCCTGCTACAACAGCCCTAGTTCCAGCGGACACTTCATTTAGCCTTAACTCTGTCTTCCAAGTCAAATTTGAATATGGTTGTGTTTTTGTTTTTGTTTTCCTGGCCACGCTACACTCTGAAAGGCACCACGGTAGCGCAACGAGGAGTTTCTCCCATTTTGGGTGTTTGGGTGAAAGGGATGTTGGAGACTTGGAAAAAAAAAAAAAAAAAAAAAGAGTTGTGGAGCAATTTAATCCAGGAGCTTAGCATGGAGGAGGCCCTGGGTTCCATCCCAGAACCACAAAAGAAATGAGGAAATGAACAGGGGGCGGGCTGGTCTTGACAGATGGCTCAGCTGTAAGAGCGCATAATGCCACAGGACCTGAGTTGGGTTCCCAGAACCCAAATCACCTGTGACTCCAACTTTCTTTTCTAGCTTCTGCTGCAACCTGTCACCCACACAAACACACATACACGCACACACACACACACGTACACATATTTAAACATAAAAATTTTTTAAAAGAGGGGAGAAAGAGAAAAATGAAAAGGAGAGGCACCTCTTCCTTAAGGAGACCATACCACGGTTGGATATTACTTTCTTCTGAGTGTCTCCTTTTCTCCCAACGCTCATGCTGAAGCCTATATAAAAATGCCTTTTAAAAAATCTGGAGCTCTGCTTCACACAAAAACAACAGGAGAAGGAAGGGGGAAAAGTCCCTAGGGGTTAAAAGGGTCCTCCAGATACTCTGCATTCCAACGCTCTGACTTTAGGCAGAGAAAGCAGTATTATCTGATTTAAATGAGATAGTTAAAAACCCAGAGGGGCAGAGGGAATCGGCAGAGGTCACCCAGCAGGTGGAGGTTCAGTTTTCCACTCTCAGAAGAATGTGCAGAGAGCTGGGCATGGTGACACACACCTGTGATCCCAGGGATCTGAGGGAAAAGCAATGGTTCTTCAGCAGGAGGTGAATGCAAAGGGTAGCTCTCAGACAGAAGTCCCCAGGAAGTGTCTCTGTGAAGGAAGCTTTGGAGAATTGCGTTCACTTGTTTGTTTTCCGAAAGTCCAAGGCAGGAGGGCAGCACGGTCTAGTTAGCCTGAGTCTGGAGGGAAGTGGCTGGGGCTCCCGTAAAGCCTCCTTTTTTATTGGTATCAACACAGCTGAGGGTTAGGCCGAGGCACTTGCAGCTTTCGCTCCTGAAAGCTGGCAATTGTCACGTTCAACCAAACGCTCGAGGTACCTGTATGTGGGAACTGGGAGAGATAGGAAACAGGGAAACATATCGTCTCGTTGAGGAGAAAAGATTTTATTGAAAAAGAAATCAGACACTTTAAAGGTCAAATGTCTGGCCCAAGCAATAAGCTGCCAAGAAACACGGAGGTACAATCAAATCAGCTTGTGTCTCTCATCCTTGAGCCCGCCTTTCCTCACTTTTGATCTGCTTTGTTTCCTTGCTAAGAATTAGGCTCAAGTCTGGAGCTGGCTGAACACAAGCTGTACCACTGAGCCACACTCTAGCCCTGTGTTCTGTTCTTATAGCTTCCTGGAAGATAGAGGTGTGGGTAGAGAAGACCAGGAAATTCTCATGGTGTTCCTCTCCTGTCTTCTGTCTGCTTTCCTGCTCCATACCCCTCCATGGTACTGTGCTTGCTCTATACCCCTGTTAAAATTTTTACTTTTACCGTGTTAGAGATTGAACCCCAAGGCCTTATGCATGCTGGACAAGTACCCTAACCCTATATTCCTTTGTTTTTGGCTTCTGGTGTTATCACAGACTTTGGCACTTACATTTCTTTCCTGATCAACTGAACTCTAGAGCTAAAGATATGGATTGAAATATTCACACTGACCCATACATGCAGGCTAATGTGTTAAATATATTGTTTTGTTGATGTTGTTGTTGAGACAGTGTTTCTCTGCATACCTCTGGCTGTCCTGTACTCACTCTGTAGACCAGGCTGGCCTCAAACTCACAGAGATTCACCTGCCTCTGCCTCCTGAGTGCTGGGATTAAAGGCTTGTTCCACCATCAACCAGCTGAATACATTGTTTATTATGTCTTTGCTTGTTGTATCAACAACAATTGGATACTCACTAATCCTTCTCATGTCTTTCAGGGACCGTTTACCTTCTGACACTGAGCCCGCCATAACCCAGAGTCACAATGCAGAGGCCACACATGAAAGGAAAAATAACTTATATCCTATTGCCTGCGTGTCTTAGAGTTTTATTGCTGTGAAGAGACACCATGACAAAGGAAAACATTTAATTGGGAATAACTTACAGTTTCAGAGGTTCAGCCCAGTGTCATCATGGCGGGAAGCTTGGCATCTTGCAGACAGGCTTGGTGTGGGAAGAGCTGAGGGTTATCCTAAGCATAGGACGCCTCAAAGCCCGCCTGCCCAGTGACACACTTCCTCCAACAAGGCCACACCTCCTCCAATAAACCTCCTAATAGTGCCACTCCCTATGGCCAAGCCTTCAAACACCTGAGTCTGTGGGAGCCAAACCTCTTTGAACCATACCACACATGTGGTACCACCTGGAAAGAGCTTTCTTTGGATTTTGGCTGGGCAAGGACTTCAGCGTCAAAGCAAGCCATGACACAAAAGAAGGTCTTCTTTTCTGATTATAGAAGCTTTGAAGGAAAAGTCAAGGCCAGCATAGAGACAAAGGAATCTAGAGGTAGCGAATGCAGAAGGGAAGAGTGAGCTAGGCTGTGTGTCAGTGGTAGAGGATGTGTTTGATTCCCAGGGAGGGTGGGTGCACACACATACACTCCCCACACCAAAAAAAAAAAAAAAATCTTAAGGCAAGAGGAAGAGGAAAAAGAGAGGGTGATGGGATACATATTACATAAAAACAGAAGGAAACTGGGGGGAGGAAGAGGATCAGTAACAGGGGGCAAGAAATGATGGGGAAAGTTCATGTGGAAGAGAGCTGAACAAGAACAAACATAATAAAGTGTGTGTGTGTATGTGTTAATCTACCACAAGAAAACTCGTCACTTGGTATGCTAAACTCTGAAAAATTAATTCTTTTAAAAAGGAAGAGAAGGATGCCCACTAGCCTAGACAAATATAGGCAGGGTGGAAGTGATGCTCTATGCAGAACAATTATCTTAAAACATATATCTGTAAAAGTATCTTATAATTTGCAGGGCCTTTTCTAATCACCCACTCTAGCTCCTAAATAATGAGACAGAGACCTATTAGATTTATTCAACAAACTTTAAAGCACTAGAATTGGGCAGATATTCATCTGTTCTGGCCCTCTGTGCTAGTCTGGCTACTTCCCAGTCACATGCCTCAAATTACCTGCCATATTGGTCCTGCCTGGGCTGCTTCTGCTCCATCAGGTCAGTCCTCACGGCCACCTCCTTCCTTTTCCTTGTAGTCCCTCCCTGAGACCCGAAGACTGGGAACAAAAGTCCAGCCTCCCTGTTCTCTCCGCCCAGTCATTGGCTGTCCAGCTTTTTTATTAACCAATCAGAGATAATTGGGGGGAAATGTTTACACAACATTTATCAATGATCACTACAATGTCTAGGTCCAGATTGTAACCAGATCTCGGGGCACAGAAACCAGCATCTAATGCACCAGACCAAAACCCCTAACATATATCTTTTAGGTTTATCTTATGTTATGTTATGTGTATGAGCGTCTTGCCTACGTGTATGCACAACATGTGTGTACCTCAGAGGTCGGAAGAGGGCAATCTGGAGTTACAGATGGCTGTGGATGCTGGGAATAGAACTGAGGTCCCCCGGAAGAACAACCGGTACTCTTAATCACAGAGCCATCTCTCCAGGCTAGGGATGTAGGTCAGTTAGTGGAGTGCTGACTTAGCATTCAGAAAGCCCTAGGTTCAGTCCCCAGCACTACACAAAACTAACCTGCATTTCCAGCACTCCAGGAGTGGAGGTAGAAGAATCAGAAATTTAAGGTCATCCTAGGCTACATAGTGAATTTGAGGCCAGCTTGGGCTATATAACAAGAGCTTGTCTCAAACCCCCATCACTCAAAACAAACTAAGCAAGTAAATAAGTAAGTAACAATGCTAGAGTTCTATCCATTTTGGCAAAGCTTTATTTTTTTTTTCTCTTATCGCATGCAACTCATTTATACAGAAGCAATAGGTTTCAACCAATTAATTTTACAGGTAAAAAAATGGGCTCAGATATATTAAGTACTAAATGTTGTATATGTAATTCATGAGTCTCTCTTTTTTTTTTTTTTTTCCAAAAAGATTTATTATTTAAACAGCATTCTGCCTGCATGTGTGCCAGAAGAGGGCACCAGATCTCACTATAGATGGTT